GTTACGAAGGTCCCCTCTTAAGGACATCCACATCATTCTGTTTCCTTTTTCAGTTATCACCTCGGGGTACCTATTATGAACACGACCTTATGTTTTACCTAGCATACATCGTCATACGCTTTTGGCTGTATTTGTCTACAAACTGAACGAAGAAAATATCGGATCAGGAAGATACTGGGAACTCTTCTTAGAAACTACCACGGTTTCTGGGTCCGTGTTGTTGTTGATGGAGTTGACAAGATTAACGAAACATTAAAATGGAGTTACTTTTCATGTCCGATTTAGCTGAACAGAAAATATATATCTAGTTTAAAATATATATCTAAGTTTAAACCCGTGCCTGGGCTCAAGTTAATTACGTATCTCCAAAAAGTGTTTCAAGTATGGTAAACAAATAACTTGTTTGGTATGAAAATCATCCAAAGTTGTTAATTTTAGTGATGTTCGCGTGTCAATCACAACATAGTGATGTCTTCAATCAGATAAAATCCGTAATATTGGATCCGCCATCTTGGAATTCAAAAAGTTAAAAAAATGTCAGAAAATTGCCCAAATTGATTCCAAAAAGTCATAAGCACTACTGATTAGTTGGGGTAGAATGGCCTACCTAGTCGCCTGAGAGAAACGTTTAATCATTACTGTTTGAATTGCTTGTCTGATTACTTTGTTATGTTTGACACCAGCGGGGGGGGTATTACATTGTACTACTCTCCACCCCATCCCTATCCCCTCCCCTCAAGGCAGATAAGGTTGATTAATGCATGACATTGAAATCAAACAAACCTGTTGGAAGAATCCTTTCTGGTGAGAAGTTCCTATTATAATATTTGCGAAGAAGTAGAAGAAGAAGTACCACGCTTCCAATGGCAGATGTGGTTACTAATATTGCTACCGATTAAGGGGACAAAAAACAATTAATTGTTACATCAGCCTGCAATGCAGGCGGTTTGTGGTCTTGCGATTGTTTATCTCCTTCGAGCGCTCGCTCGTCCAAATACGCCTGTTTTGCAGGCTATTGTTACATAGGTTTAATTTCGAGTGGCATATAATACATTTTCTACCCTTTTAACCTTTTTTAATTAACGTTTTGTTTCTTCTCTGATTCGACACATTTTTTTACCATAAAATATTTTCCTTCCAGCTCATTCTCAACTGAGAATGAGGTGGCAGATAAGTACACTGGATATTCAATAGTTCGATGATGACATCGAAGTTCAGTTAATACAATCTGCTGATCAATGCAAGGAAATATTTTTAAGATCATTCATTTATTCAGAACCTGAGGAAGGTAGAGGAACGACCAGAACCACTCCTACTGTCCCGCTTAGGGATGATAGTGAATTCCAGCTACCAAAGTTGCCCAGAACGTAGCGAGTGGTCGGAGGCTACCATCAATAATATTCATTACTTAGGGCCTCCACAAACTAGAGAGATAGTTGTCGACAACTATTTAGTTGTCGATGATAAAAAGTTGTCGATAACAAAAAAGCCAGTGTGTGAAGCTAGTTATCGATAACTAAGACCCTTAGTTATCGACAACTAGCTTCACACACTGGCTTTTTTGTTATCGACAACTTTTTATCATCGACAACTAAATAGTTGTCGACAACTATATCTCTAGTTTGTGGAGGCCCTTAGTAACTGGAATATATGGATAACATGTGCAGCTATTACTATTGTTCCTAGTCTTTGTACAAAATAACTGACTTGTTTATTTTCAGTCCTATAGCTAGCTGAAGCCATTAACGACACGTGTGAATGATACAATGCACGAGGAATGTCAAAGTAGCTGTAGTTTGTTTGTCCCGTGGCCGGATTCACGAAGCCCTCCTAAGTTTAGTATCCTAAGTATTGTTTTCCTATATAGGCATTTGTTAAAGGAAAAGGTCACTCCGACAAATAAGTGCCGAAAAATTCGACCACGGAAGCCGCCATTTTGAAGACTACTCAACAACCCGGTCGCATAATCGTGACGTCATTCCGTGCAATCTGAGCCCCCGTTTACAAGCCTATTACATGAACGCGGTTTCAAATGTACACGGTTACACGATTTCGTAACCGTGTTCAAAATAATGGATACATCTTAGTTTAGAGTCCGCTTCGTGAATCCGGTCCGTGGTCAGTTATTAGGGAGCTTAAGCATAGACGTTTTTGAGCCACAGACGGCAACCGGAACTCGAATGTTCTCTGTATTGGCGCGTATCATCGACTTTTCGTCCGTAACGTCAAGTTGCAAATGCTAAAACAAGGGTTTTCCAACTCTTTGGTGGGAGTGAAAGCGCGCCAAAAACTAAAACAATCGCCTTCCGGTTGCCGTCCGTGGCTAAAAACGTCTGTGCTTAAGCTCTCTGTTATCGTCGAAGAACTCACCTGTTGTATTCATATTTGTTGTTTTATTCGAGGGAGAAACTGTAGGCTCGATTTCCGACGTTCTCTCAAGTCCGGCCTTCGTTCCTCTCCGAGTGGCTAAAAGAAAATACAAAAAAAAAAACACCTTACAAACGCAGATCAGCTTAATTGCTTTTTTTTCTTCTTTTTACTGCACGAGCGGTTAAACAACTGATTCACTAGTGACTTATATGGATACCATGTCCGGCTATTACAATGAATCAAAGGCGCTCATATGACCAGCCACTCATGAACGATGTTATGGCAATAAGGCATCAACTAGGATAAATAGTCAAGTGTGCTGCGGGTGGAAATTTCCGACTAAACAAGTCAAACGTACTACCTGATCCCCCACAATCAAGTGGCTGGAAATTAAACATATATGTGCTAACTTGTTGACTAAATTACTCCATGCTTAATATACTTCAGAGTGATTTTATCCTTTATTGGTCTTGAATTCGAATGCATTTAATTCACTGTGATGCACGTCTACATGTATAGCTATAGGTAGTGCTCCAAAATGATATTTTTTCGTAGTCTAATATTGACCAGTTCCTAAAAAATCAAGATGCCCATGGTTTAAAAGTTCCAGATCAACTTGTCCGTGATTCATTCCGATTTTGACTCCATGTCAGGGTTTGAGTCAGAGCGCGAACATGCGAAAATGTCGCGCTTGTGTATGATCGATCGATCGATCGGTCTATCGATAACACAACTAGCTTTTATTATTTTCCTAAGTCATGTATGCATGCTCGCACGCACAAAATCGGTCGAAATGGGACACGACTAGTATCCTCCTTTATCTTTTATCGAAATATCCATCCTTCTTCACACGCTCCTCGCTCTGGCATTTTCTTGGACAACCTACCGCCATCGTGAATCCATCCATTTCCTGGAGACCGATTTTCTCCTCACCTAAGTGTTTGCTCCACCGACCCTACGCCCTGCGTCCAACTCCTCACTCTTCCCTCCCTCGAACGCTATCCCCATGGGTAAGGTAGATGACCGTTACATATCGCGGGCCCACCCTCGTAAATAATGTAATGCATAACTAATATGTCTTTTAATGCATAAATCATTCATTAATCACGAGTAAAAAAGTCTTTGTACAAAATAATTGACTTGTTTATTTTCGGTCCTAGCTGAAGCCAATCCTAAGTATTGTTTCCTAGGATACATCTTGGGTTAAGAGGGCTTCGTGAATCCAGGTCCGTGGTCAGTTGTCATGGTGATCAATTAAAATTGAACACCATGGTGACTAAGATTTACTAATAACTAACAGCAAGTATTTAAAGCTTACCTTGGGAAGGAGTTGGTGACAGAAATCCTTCTAGATCTAAACACAAAATAGTTTTGCTTGGTACTACATTCATATGAACTTCGGTAGTTACAGTCATTGTCATTAGAAAAATATATATTTATAATATATTTATTTAAATACATATTGAAACATTCGATAGGCACCGCTTACTCTATTCAGACCGAGTGTGGTGGGGAGGAGGGGGGGGGGGGGGGGGGGATAGGAAACATTGTTCTCGGAACTAGCTGTTACCATGGTAACAATATCTTGACAGGCATGTTTTCCACATTTGGAATTTTTGTTTTTTTTCGTAGCCTGAGAAAACAGACGTCGTTTCGCGTCGCCACTACTGGGAGTCCCGCGAAACGGACGTCTGAGAAATGAGTGCCAAAATTCCGTACTTCTGACGTAACCACTACCGATATCTGGGTAGTGCTTCTGATTGGTTGAAACAAATTTTCCTCTAGGCACCCGTGGATCCCGCGCGCGTATGTTGTTTTCAAGATGGAGGGAAGGAAGCGTAGCTTTATATAGTTGCCTTGAAAGAAGTTGTTCTTAGCTTGTGTTACCGCTTAATCCCATTGACACCTAGCTAGCGTGTGTCGCGTTCTTGAGCAGAAATTAAATTTGCAAGCGACGTTAAAAAACAAAACGAAATTCGCAGTAAATATTTACACAATTTTTGTAGGCTTCCCAAATTACGACTTCTTGTTAAACTAGAATGGTTAAATAAATTATTTCCGACGGCAAAAATGATCGTCTCGTATCAAGTATTACCCATAAAATAAGCTTGAATAGACGATGGCAGAAAATAGGGCAAAATATTTTCCTGTTAAAAAATATATTTAAATACAAAACGCTACAATTCCCTTTCAAAGCAAAACACTTTCGATTTTCTTTCGTGCGTGAGGCCATGCAAACGCTTCGTCCGTGTTCAAGCGCTATCGATGATCTATTTACACGTGGCTCTCCAGACAGAATTACAAAAGTTATTTGAATTGCGTGATCAAATGATCAGTTAAACAATTCTTATAAAGGAAATCAACATCTAAAAATAATGATTTACCGTGATGTAGCATTCTCCAAGGACTTGAAAAATCCGGACTACTCGGTTTGTTTTTATTTTTTATGCCGTTTAATCTTCTCTTCCCTTGAGTATCGAAGGAATACAACGCGAAAGGCTCAATAATGTCAAAGTGAAAATGTGAATAAATGATAAGTGGAATGGGTGACTTGACATTATTGAGCCTTGCAGTATGGCAGGACATATTGTCACATATGAACCTAGTTGTATGGCCTTGCTCACCATGAGTCCTCCATAGCTCAATGGTTAGAGCGTCCAACAGGCACCTGGAAGGTCATGGGTTCAATTCCCGATGGGGAGCTCAGAATTTTTTTTTCTGAGTATTTCGACTTGAGAGCGCTGCTTCATTAATTCACTTTATCCAAGTCACCCATTCCACTTATCATTTAAAACGTTTTTATAACAATAAAAAATCTGAGGCAATTAAAGTCTTCACAAGCCTAGTGGCCCACAACTCCCGACTTATCTCTATTTTCATAGCATGAAGTGACTAGGGGTATTGTTATACTCTCCCTGCATGGATGGGATGCTAGGCCATCACAGGTTAACCCCAGCATTTTGACGCTGGGTGGAGAGAGGCACTGTGAGAGTTAAGTGTCTTGCCCAAGAACACAACAGAATGACTCCGGCCAATGCTCGACCCGGAGCTCAACGCGCTTCCCACCGGTAGTAACTGGATATCAGGGAAGTAGCACTTTTTTCATTATATTTACGTTCATGCGGTGATCGAAAACATATTGACATACCTTTCATTTTAATGTAACTAGACAGGCATGGAAGAGCAAAAACCTTTTCAAAACAAAAAAGTAAAATAAGTAAAGAAAGATAAATAAGTAAACATTTCAACTAATATAAAAAGTGCTAGTGAAGACAACTGACCTATTAAAAGTACAGCGCTTATTAGATACTTAAATGGCGGCCGAGCTTTTCTTAGGAAATAAATAATTCATTGTAAGTAGTAATACGTTTTGATTTAGTAAATAATTCGACTAATTTACTATGGTGATTACACTGTGCATGACTAGGGAAATGGGAAGGGTTATAAAAGGTGAGTCTGTTCCAGTCCTAAGGATCAGAGGAGCCAGATGGCTCATCAGTGTTGCGCATGCGTTGTGCTTAACACCGGTTTCTGTAGCTGACATGAAGCGACAAGAAGTATTGCATCTCCCCTAATTCAGCACAATAATCATGGGGAAGTTGTAATTCATCCGAAAACAACGCAAATCCGCTTTGAGAATTAGGAATAACCCTTCGGTAATAAATATTTACATCTTATTGCAGTCGTATAATTTCAGTCGTAAAAATCACTTCCAAGTGAATTCAAATAAGTCCAACCATATTTTTTTTAATTCCTTCTGCAACCCTCCAATAAATAATTAAAACCAGGGCCGGGTTGTTCAAAGGACGATTAAGCTAATCCAGGATTAGCGCAAATTTTAATTTCAGTTTTGCAACTTTTCAGTAAGATTTTCTGTTTAAATTTTTGGTCTTTCTGTTTTGACTTTGACTAATCTTAAACTTTACAAGACATCAGCATAGAAAAACACTTTTATACAAGAGAACTTAAAACCTTGTTTAACTTTTAATCCTGTATTAGCGTTAATCGGCTTTCGAACAACCGGGCCCAGAGCACGGGTATAAATTTCAGATTACGGTATATACCTGGAGTTATAGGCTTTCATTTGTATCTGATGAAATAAATTAGATACTTACACGAAATGAAAAGTACATATCGTAACTCCAGCCAGATTTAGATTCAGGATAAACCATATACGTCTCGTTCTTTAATAATAATAATAAAAAAAGACATTATGGTTGTGAGTTCATATATTAATATCTACGCTACAGAACAACTTCAATAGACGCCAAGGTATATACGAAATCAATTTTATGAAATAAACAAGATACTACGCGCGCTCTGATTGGCTCAAATTCAATTACAATAACTCTATTGAAACATAAACAATTGCTTCGCGCATTTATTTCATACTCGTGAAAGTTTGGGAGAACTCGAAATTGTTGTGGAAACACTAGCTAAACACTCGCCTGCGGCGCGTGTTTCCACATCATTGATCGATCTCACAAACTTCACTCGTGTTACCAATGTAAACATGGAAAACGTTTTCTATTTGGTATATATTATCCATATAATATAATCCAACAAGCCAAGCTATATAGAAAATCATTATATTATCCACCGCATAATGCAACATGTGTATCCAAACCAAGGTTACAAAATTGACAATCAGTGACAGAAACCTGGAGCTCGGAGCTGTGGTCTTACGATAAGAACTTGTAGATTACTAAACCTCTGTTTAAAGTGCCCCTACGATCAAATTGTTGATAATCATTTGTTTACATTTTCGTGTACAATATGCCTTTCTTACATATCTTGCCAAATTTCAATCCATTACGAACATTAGAAATCATTTTTTTGGACTTTCATTTCCGAGAATTTACGGCCGCCATTACTTGACCTTGTTCCAAGGCTTGGTTGCGAATTAGAGAAAATGACGTCAGATGCTCAAAAATACCTCACGGGTTGACATTATAATAACAACAAGAATAGAAAATTGCACGAAGTAAAAGTCCAAAGTTTTTGTTGCTCTGCGTGCAATTTTCTATACTTATTGTTATTATAATTTCAACCCGTGAGGTATTTGAATATCGACAATTTGATCGTAGGGGCACTTTAAGCTTCCCAGGGATGGACCCAGCTTTTGAAAAAGGGGAAGGGGTTGTAAGTATTAATGCCTTGGGGTCGTCAGGAGTGTCTGGTGCATTCCGCTCCAGAATAATACAATTACAAACAACTTCTCATAGGTGGATGTGTGCAACACCGTCGACCCGTAAGTCGTCCATAAGTGTGAAAGGGCCCCCTTCTTTATGAATGTGCTACAGATGAGCTATATTACAAACCCAACAGCCGTGGGATCGACACCAATATACGAATGAGTCTTGTTCCCATAAAGGATAGTCAAGACTAGTCGAAATGTCATGAACACACTTGGCTGTGTTTCGAAACAAAAACTTACACTGTAGCAGCTGTAGGATAAAAGAAACCATAAGAAAACCAAGAGAAGTAGTAGTCACATCAGGATAAGTTTAAAAACTTCATACCTTTGGTCGCTCAATGTACCTAGTTGGCCTAGAAGAATTGTAATCCACATCTTCATACCAATAGGCAAAGGAGTAACTCGTGAAGTTGGTAAGTCCTTCTAATGGGTATATAAGGCAAGAGAAGAACATTATGTAGTTTTGATTTATGAATATTGATTACCGAAGTTATTATATATGGCCGATCAATAGAGTGATTTCATTTAACCCGTGAAACAATATCTAACAGTTAGTGCTAAATAGTCAAAACTAAACAAAAGAAAACAATGGAATTAGTGTCTAATCGTATCCAATAGTGTAGTGACTATTTCACGGGTTTAATGAAATCACTCTAAAATATGAAAGTTGTTAAAATTATCAACTACCATACTCGTTTGACGGCCGCATGGCGATAAACAGTCAGGCTGACGTTAGCCTCGCTTCTGAATAAGGGCATAGTAACCTATGTTATTATATAGATACTGGCAAAATGCCAGGATTTTTTATTTTACTAAAAAATGATCAGTCTTCAACACGCGAAGTGAATATACTATTTATATTTTTCACATGTTAGGATATTGATGTCGTCATGGTTACTGACATGATTAGCCAATAACAATAGAGCTTTCCGTTTATTATATTCTGGAAGCTCAACTTGCCTTTTTGCAGCAGAAACTAATATTTATTGGGATAAAACGTACTTTACTATGCGTTTCATAAGTTGTCATGACATTTTATGCGAACTGGCTTGAGCCCAGTTTAGGAGACCACGTTTTTGCTGTTTTGAAATGTTTGAAAATGAATTTAAAAAATTTGTAGAAAAATCTGTTTAATCTGCACATTTCAACAGTATCTATATCTGTCTGAATTTGGCAAAACGTACCCGCTCGGAGCACGGTTTTGAGTGCCACCTCAAGCCTATGGTGTTGGCAAAATTTCAAGGTAGGGGAGGGGGGGGGGGGGGGGGGACTGTTTTGGACACATGTGCTAGGTAGGCCAGTCCAAGGACTGACCGCCCCAGGGAGTCTAGGCTCAGGGGGAGAATTGCTCCCTGGCTAGGGGAGGGGACATAATCGATGTTTGGCGAGCAAGGATTGGAGGCCTTCCCGGGCCTCCAATCCACTCCTTCCACCGACCACTGGCGTTCGAGAATTTTGATGGTGGGCGTTATGGACTGCTTTGCCAGGTAGACCAGTCCATGACCTAACAGCCCAAGGGAGTAGAAGGTTAGGGGTTGCATTTTTCACTGGCTAGGGGGGCATTTGTCGCTGAATCTCAAGTGTCCCTTACTCGGCTTTTTATCACTTGCATTCTGTGGCTTGCCCTATTTCGCTGCAGAGTTGGGTTAGCTAAGCATCCAGCAATGTGCAGTCCTGCCTAGGGGGGCCAGAAACTGTTTGTGGTGGGTCTGGCCAAGCTCTCGGTTTTTTGAATCAAGACATATATATATATAATAAACAGAATATTATATGACCACTTGGGAATACGACTTTATCTTCTCGTGATATAGTATCCCTCACTCGTTCGCTGCGTTTACTCGAGCGAGTTTTATACTATCAGCACTCGAATATAAAATTCGCTTCCCCGCGCGGCCATGTTATATCCTCTATACATTCAACGGGAAAGGACATAAATAAACCTCGAACAATAGTCACGGTTGAGAAACACTCGGCACTTTCCTACATCAGGTAACTTCTAACAAGTGATAACTTACCATTTATGGGATACCACGATATGTTAACATACGACATGTTTGAATCCTCATATTGATTCCTCTCTACTTTTCTTATAGTTGGATAGATATTGATGTCATCATATTCGTCAGTCGGGCATGATAATGTTTGAAATTCACCCCCTGCGATAAATCGTAATTTTCGTCATTTATGTGCACATGTATATATGCAGCAAATTAATACAAAATGTTTACAGATATGTTGATCCATTTTTGCTAAAATGCTTAAAACCTGCAAATGTAGTAACTGTTCTGTAAAGTGATAGAACCTTTGCTGAAAGATTACTACTTTTAGCGGGTACTAAATTTAGTGAATTGAGCCGGCTGGTCATCATGCCGTGAAAAATCGCTAATTCAATTCAATTATTCGCTAAATTTAAAAAATCGCTTCGACATTTCAATGCTAGTTGAGAACTCCAAAAAAATCGCTCAGTCAAATGGTCGCTAGTAGTCGCTAAACATAGCAACCTCCGATTAAA